AGCCCAAACAAGGTTCCTGTGTATGGTTTATAAGGGAATGTATGGGAGTTATGATTAAGGTCATGAAAATAAAATGTTTCACTCAACAATTTGCCTCAAAATATGCTGCAGTTGTTGCTTTTACTTTAGTAGTATAGGGGATGGGGGTTCCAAAACAGTGACCATCCGAGGTTTACCCGCGTTTGTAGAACCTCGGTTTACACCAGGAATACCCACATCCCATGTCTGCGTAGTTAAATATGTTAGTCTATACATGGAGTGCGAAGATTGTAAAGAATTCGTTTACGATTTCTGTATAAAGTGCTTGAAACCAAGGTTTGTGCCTCAACCACCAAGGAAGCTTGTTTGTTGTGGTAAGAAGATGCAAATAGAATATGACACGTCAGCACAGTGTTACGAGTGTGGTAAGAACATTCGCAATGCCGTACCAAATGCTACCAGAGAGCAATATTACGCTAATGGAGGTCGTAAGAAGACCCCATACAAGAGAATAAAATACTTTAGAGACTGGATGAGTCACATCCAAGGTCTTCGGCCGGTATATTTAGACAACGAAGTAATGGAAGCGCTTGACTTAAAAGAACCAACACCACAAAGCTTAAGGAAGACATTGAAAAAATTAAAGCTAGGGAAATATTACAAAGGCATTCCCTACCTTTTGTCTAAAATTACCGGTAAGCCTATTCCCGAGGTTTCTGAAGATACTATGAGCAGAGCCGAGTGGATGTTTTGTCGGTTGGATAAGGATATTCCTTATTACCCTGACGTAATCTACGAAATATTCCACGAAATAGACCCCAACCACCCCCTGTTAGGATTGATTCCAAGAAGATAGTGGATCTTATGCCATAAGACGTTGATTACGCATAATTTCCAGACTGTCGTTCAATATGTAAATAAAATCCTGTCTCGCTTTTTTCAAAGCAAATATTTACTGAGCGAGCTTTCTTTGAAGCTCTTCTTTTGCCTCCTGGTAGATCTTCCTTCGAGATTCCTCGGAAAGATCTTTTACGACTGTTTTTTTGTTTTTTATGTCCGTCTTCAGTTTCTCGTAGTTTCCCTCTTCGGCTAGAATAAGCGAGAATTCTACGTCGTCTATCTTTCTGTCACGCAAAGCCTTTGAGACAAGGTCGGTAATAGTATTTACTTTAGCCCTAGACAGAGCTATTGTCGTGTCGTGTTTTGATATTTTCGCGGATAGCTTTTTCATAATGCCCGTAGCAACAGCCGAAATGATACCACAGGCTGCCCCAACGCCGGCCAAAGGAACCCCAACAATTACTCCGGGTCCGGTAAGCGAAGTAGCAACGCCGGAGCCCGTTAACACAACGGATATGGATCCTGAAGTTATCGCAATCTTATGTAGCGTACTCCGGGCTCTAACGTATTTCTTCCTAACTTTTTCGTAGTGTTTTGTCTGCCCTTCCAAGTAAGCCAGTATTAGGTTCGCTTTGTTAAGTCTGAAATTCTCTGCATCCGCAATGGGCGCCGTAGTATGGTAGTTTGGAATATCTGGGTACATCTTAGGTGCCGATCATGGTATAACATCCATTATATATACTAATGTACGACGCTTTTGGGAATGATATCGGAGTGCAGCCACATCATGACAACCGGAATTATGCTAACTGGAGAGCGTTTAGGAAGATGTTTCCACACGCAGACGCCAGTAAGTTTGAGCGCAGACCCGATGGGATTTACTTCAACGGCTCCAGGATGTATAGCAATGCAGACTTGGAGCCAACGAAGGAGGTACCCAAGCATGAGCAGAGGAGAGAGGTGCAGCATTTGTCAATAAAGAAAGAGGCGCAGCCTTATTTTCCAAGGAGTCTGTTAATGACCAACCAGGATTACCCATTTTACGATGCCGAAGGCGGCGCCAATAACTTCGATAAGATGGTAACGCATTTGCAGATTCCAGTGGGTAAGCAAACGTTTGACGTAGTAATGAGGAATATCTTTAAGGATTTTCACCTTAAGCACACCACAGGAAAAGAAGCCCACGAATGGTTAAAGGGACCCAACTTTCGATATTGGCCGCAGCAGCTGAACTTTGCCGCCTGGGCAGCCACGAAGGGCTGTGGGGTTGCCGCGGATATGTTTGATATTGCCTTCCTAAGGTTTCACGTTGCCTTTACCATGCGACGCATATTGAAGGAGCTTAGTGTGCCACTGCCAGGGGAGAAGCCATTCAATCGAATGGTTAACCCCTACGATTCCGCCGCCCTAGAAAGGCTAATGAATGAGTTTAAGCCGCAGCAAAGGGACTTTCGTTATCGGGAGGGCGCCACGCATGGCTTAGGCATCATTTATGCTTGGCACGTTGACGGCGTGCGTCCGGCAGACATGTATCATCAGAAATACCCAGGAGTCTTGAAGTTTTACGACTTGGGCGGTCGCAAGAATGACGTTACGCTGATCGATAGGATTGAGACGATTTACCCCAGTCCATGGGACCCATTTGTATTATTAAAAGGAAAAGGCCTAAGAAACCTAGCTCGAATTAACCGCAGCATAGAGGCATTCGTATACTGCATTTTAGGAGCGCAGGTAAATACCCGCAGCCCCATTGTTGGTTCCCAAGGTGCTTCACAGAAAACGCAACAGGAATTCTTAACTTTATTTGAGTCCGCAATAATAGAAAATGATATATCCAAATCGGTGCAGAGATATCAATTAGCGGTGCAGCAATCGAAGGTTAGACTGGATTACGCTTTGTCACCTGGTTGTTGGTTAATGCCAAGTAATTTGGTCATCAACACTAATTCCGTCGTGGGTTATAACAACAAACTTCAACGAGCTACTAAGGATATGAAGTTTGGGGCGAATGACGTGAACTCTGAGATGACCAAAGGCATTCCTCACTTTATATCCACACCAAAAAAGGAGCACGTAGAAAAACCACCAATTCCAAAGCCTAAAAAGAGGGT